TGTGGAATGGGTGATACCAGTGGCAATGGCAGGATGACCATGGAGGATCTTGGTGAACATTAGTGTTGGCATTGGCTGCAGAGGGCCAGTATCCAGACCTACATGAGGCAACATGCAGGTAGGTGCTAGTGTGGTGGTGGTGAGGGGGGGTAGATCCAACCTCAGGGCCCCAGGAGGAGTGCTTAGGTGCCAACAATGGTGGACTGGACTGTGTGCTCTGCACAGGGTAGGAAGCAAAGCCATTCCGGTGGGTTTGCTCTCAGGACCCCCTGATCATGCGTGCAGGTACCAAGAAAGCAGAAGCAGGGCAATCCCCAGGCTACTGCTGTAATGCTTGGGTTGGGGACAGCTGGGGCTGCACTCCCGCCCTGCTGTTGGGGAGAGCAGGGCTGCCTTCTGTGGTGGCAGGGTAGGCCAGCAGGTGGGGAATATAAGCTTTGCTTGTGCCTCAGCCTGTCTCCTACTCCAGCCTTGATATTGTTGTGTCCCATGACAGTGTTTTGTCCTCTGTGGTCTGGGCTTTCAAAATGGCGCCCTGATGTAGCTGCGCAGGACTCAGGGAGAGTTGGGCCCCGGGAAAGGTCCTCTCCTGAAGGAGCGCCATTGCATGTTCTCCAGGCAACTTCCTATGTGAGTTTCAGGGTTCGTGAGGGGCCACGGGCTCTCCCATGGCTAGGACTACAGGAGTCCAGGGTGGGAATGTGGACTGCGGGGGTGTCTCACTCACCATTTCCCTGCACGGGGAGTCCCTCCTGGTTCCCAGCAGACCCCTGCTGCACAAGCTGCCTTGCTTTCCTCTCTTTCCTTGCTTGGGTGTCCAACCTGTGGCCCAACAGCCAGATGCTGAGTTTGTGAGAGCTTTTTTGTTTATCTGTGGTGTTGGATATCACAAAAAGTATACACAGACCTTTTCTTTTTGCTCATCAGCTGTCAGTGTGTGTGTATTTAATGTGTGGTCCCCAACAACTCTTACTCTTCTAATGTGCAGCAGAGCAGTAAAAAAGGTTGGACACCTTATTTTAGGTTGTTTCAGATGTCACTTTTCTGCTGAATTCCAGGGTTCTTCTGGGATGGTCTGTTTGAAGAGTGGTTATCTACTCATTATTTTGGTTCTTCTTAGTAAAAGAGCTAAGCCATCTTGATGACCTTCCTCAAACAACCCCCTTTTAAAATGGGCAAAAGACGTGAAGAGGCGCTTTGCCAAATATATACAAATGGTAAAGATGCCCAACATGCAATCCTCTAGAAGACGTAAGAGAATTCTGAGAAGATGACAATGACGGCATCATGTTTTACATCTCCCCAGTCACTGCCCCCAGGAAAACAAAGTTGAAAAACCCAAACCCATAGACATTTATAGTAAAACTAGGTGATGACATATCCCCAGGAATTCCTGAGTCTGAGAAGGTGCAGACAAGCCATACCACTAAGCATCGCCTTTGTGGGAAGGGGCAGAGGGAAGCTTTGGGTGGCTGATGGACCTGAGAATGAGGGAACCCCCAAGTCACCTTAGGTACTCACTGAAAAGGCAGAGTCACCAACAGACTCCAGCAGCCAGACCGCTGCTGTACAAGTTCACCTTACACACTGAAGGGACGTGAGCAGGTGGGCTCTATCAACTCTCAAACTTCACCAGCTGCTCCCTTCCAGGATAAAGCCCAGCTTTGAGAAGAATCTCCTGGAAATAAAAATTAATGTTAAACAGGACAGACACAAAAAGGGTAAAGGAAAGAAAAGGTCTGGATATAATTGGGGGTGGGAACTGAATCAGATGTGAGAAACAACAAAGAACTGCCCTCCTGACGTTTCCCTACCTCCCACTCCAACCAGGTTTCAAGAAAATGTTAGTAGACAGACGTGTAGGAAAAGCCCAGGTGATGCCACAGTTGAAGTGGGCAACATCATTGCTGAGACATCAAGTTTCATCATCAGGTCCTCAGATTGCAAAACATCTTCTAGCAATGTCTGTATATAACAAGACTATTGCTTTGTGTGTATAAAACAACTGGGTGACCAGGCATGGGGTGCTTACTATAATACTGTTATTGAAATGATGGTCAAAGTGATACACTCAGTTTATTTTTTTTTTTTATTATTGAGACAGAGTCTCACTTTGCAGCCCTCAGTAGAGTGCCATGGCATCATAGCTCACAGCAACCTCCAACTCTTGGGTTTAAGCGATTCTCTTGCCTTAGCCTCCCAAGTCGGTGGGACTATAGGTG